TTGTTTCGGCTCTTTCCCAACAGCTGACCACAAATGATGCCACGGAAAAGTCCAATATTTTCGAGGGCTGTAAGACTGGATATTGAGAAAAAAAAACCTTGTTTTGAGTCACGAGAAGATACCATATTTTCCACACATATTTTCCTGACATTTTGAATCAAAAATTAAGAAATCAATATTTTAAACACATTCTGCATATCAGACATACCCCCCAATTTTAAACCTAAAAAATTTGGCGTAAAATGTCGTATACAGGGAAAAATATGGTATGTCGAAAGTGACAAATCATCTGAACTCAATTTCCCAAAGTCCTTCTTAAAATGCTTCCAACAATCGTGGGACTTGAAATCTATCTTGAAAGGGACGAGGGCTTCAGATCTCCAGATAAGTAACTGTTTCTCCTAGCCACAGGTCAAGATATGTGCTGAACAGATCCCAGAGTACTGGATCAACCAAGGAGCAGTAGAGAATGGGGGGGGGGGGGGGTGTTTATGCATCCTCACAAGACTAAATAAAAAACAGACCATTATACTGCCTGCAAATTAAAAACCAAACAAACAATTTGCAGTAAATCTTGCAAAATGAACAAATAAATAAGGAAGAGTAAGGAGACAATCATTATCAATACTTTAGACAGCTATTGTAACTAATAATGTCTTAAAAACTGTTAATTAAAGTAGAACATTATAAACAATTGTTTAAAAACAAGAGAGAGAGAAAGAATGTTTATGAATTTTGTGATAAGAAGAGCTTTAGAGAAGACCATCCAGACTGACAGGATCAGTGGCAAAGGTATCCGAGGTAAACACAGTTAAGTAGGCAATTAAAAAAAATGAACCTGACCAAGCGTAGAGGTCTGTCAAGATAGGCTACATGGCAAAGGATTTGATGATGATGAAAGTAATTTTTTTTTTTTTTTTGGGTAGCTAAATAAAAGAAAAATAAAGTACATCAATTCAGCTGTCAGTTCACAAAGAACCAATCACACAAACAATTTTTCTTGTGAGTATTTTGTACATCAACAATTTGAAAAATGAAAAACTTGAATAACTTTAATGTTGCTGCAACCAGGGATTTTTTCTGGTAGTGCACATCGATAAAGCAGTACTGATACCTGTTTTTAAAAAAAGCATGATTTATTTTTTAAAGTTACTGTAAAAGATATTTTGTGGTGAGTACACATAAAAAAAAAAAAAAAAAAGACCTGACTATAACAAGTAATATATTCTTCGGCTCTCCTTTAAACTATGGCCAGTAGACAACAGTAGACGGCCGGTTAGTCGGAGTTCTGTCCCTTGGCTACAGTGCAATTACAGAGTGGAAAAGGCACGAATCACAAAACAAAGTGACGCCGACATGGCTGCTAGAGCTAGACCACGCGCTGCGACTCACATTAGCGACCACGTTCTTGCGACGCAAGACTTAGTGGCCGTAGATGTGACACATCCGGATCTGTATGCCTTAATGAGCGATAAGCTTGCGTGGTTGCGGTGGCTAGCTGAGCATAGAGTTGTACGGAACATGCAGGTATGTGGCTCGTGCAACCGTCCTATGTCGTTAGCGCCTCGGCAGGACTGCTGTGACAGATACTCTTGGCGATGTCATCGTTGTGATACTCGGTGTAGCGTTCGCACTGGGTTGTTCTTCGCCAACTGCGATATGCCGACCGAGAAAATACTCATTACATGTGTTACCCTAACCCACACCCTAACCGTAACCGTATGATTTCTATTCTTCTTTTTCCTCCCTCTTTCATCTCTATCAGATATGTCGCACTTCAGCAAACATTTGTTTAAGGTTTGCTGTATGTAGACCGATTCCAATCCAGGTGACAGGCTTTATTTACCCCCTCAGAAGATGTTTGCCAAAAGGAATTTTGACATGGCCTACATTTTGTTATTTACAATGGCTATTGAATTTTAACATGTACAACATGCTTAAGAGATCAGCTTTTGTCCTTTTTTTAAGAACACTAGGTATCTGACCTTATATATGAGCTTTTACAAGAGTGTGAAATTGTTATAAAACCAGTGGTTTTTGTAAATATCTCTCTAGCCTTATAAAGCTAGCATGGAATTTCGGAGACCGAGTCAGGCATGGAAACCATTCAGACTAATCTCACCAACTATCAATTTCAACCGACCCCGTCTGATCAACTGTTACCACATGTCATCAATGATCACCATTTATCAGTTGTCAACATGTCATAAAGGATCACCATTTATCAGCTGTCACCATATGTCATCAATCATCATCATGAATTCTCTTTATGCCTAGTGGCACATGAGGCTTCAGAGAGGACTTTCCATGCTTTCCTGACCTGTACAATCTTCAGTGCAGTTTTCCCATGTCAAAGATACTGCATTCAGGTCACTCTCCACCGTTTGTCTCCATGTTGTTTTTGGGCGCCCCTTTTTTCTCTTTCCCTCTAGTGTCCATGTGAGAGCTGTTTTGGCAGGTATAGCAGGATTCATTCTCATAACGTGGCCAAGCCATTTCCATCTTCTCTTGGTTATCATACTGTCCAGAGTTTCAATGATCACCATTTATCAGCTGTCAACATATGTCATCAATGATCACCATTTATCAGATGTCACCATATGTCATCAATGATCACCATATATCAACTGTCACCACATGTCATCAATGATCACCATTTATCAGCTGTCACCATGTGTCATCAATGATCATGATTTATCAGATGTCATCATATGTCATCAATGATCCCAATATATCAACTGTCACCACATGTCATCAATGATCACCATTTATCAGCTGTCACCATATGTCATCAATGATCACCATTTATCAGCTGTCACCATATGTCATCAATGATCATGATTTATCAGATGTCACCATATGTCATCAATGATCACCATTTATCAGCTGTCACCATATGTGATCAATGATCACTATTTATCAGCTGTCACCATATGTCATCAAGGATCACCATTTATAATCTGTCACCACGTGTCATCAATGATTGCCACATGTCAACTGTCATGCATGTCACCAACACTGTCACATGCTGTCAGCACACTCAGTAACTGTCACCAAATGTCAACAACTGCCACCACATGTCAACAACTATCACAAAACGCAATCAACTTTCACCATATGTCAGCAACTGTCATCACATTTCAAATCGCAACATGTCATTAACTGTCACAACATGTCATTCATTAACTGTTAACTTTCAGCCCACACTGACTAATATGTGCCTCTAACCTTTTTTGCTGAGGTAATGTCAAATCATTATTAACTACTGTTTAATCTCTAAACACAGACCTGGCAATCAGTAAAAAATTAAGGAAAGGACTCTTCCACGCCTTTAGGCATATTGGGCACAGGTGCTAGACCTATATTTTATAGGCCAACTGGCACTCGATGGATGATGTGGTGGGCATACTGCCGGCCACTTTAACTTCCCAGAATTTTCCCCCTAGTACCCATTAAAGACAGCCCTTAATGTGACGGGGGAAAAAAAACTGCTGGCAGGTTGCCCAGCCCAAACATTAAGTACTAGGAAATGTTATGGGGCAGACATAAAAGTGACCTGGGACACAGACCAAATCATCCACTGAGTGCCTATTGGTCGACACAAATATAAGGCCGGTACCATATCCTACATGGCAAACGAATGGGTCACTTACTGTTGAGTAGTTAAACCATATCCTACATGGCAAGCGAATGGGTCATTTACTGTTGAGTAGTTAAACCATATCCTACATGGCAAGTGAATGGGTCATTTACTGTTGAGTAGTTAAACCATATTCTACATGGCAAGCGAATGGGTAATTTACTGTTGAGTAGTTAAACCATATCCTACATGGCAAGCGAATGGGTCATTTACTGTTGAGTAGTTAAACCATATCCTACATGGCAAGTGAATGGGTCATTTACTGTTGAGTAGTTAAACCATATCCTACATGGCAAGCGAATGGGTAATTTACTGTTGAGTAGTTAAACCATATCCTACATGGCAAGCGAATGGGTCATTTACTGTTGAGTAGTTAAACCATATCCTACATGGCAAGTGAATGGGTCATTTACTGTTGAGTAGTTAAACCATATCCTACATGGCAAGCGAATGGGTCATTTACTGTTGAGTAGTTAAACCATATCCTACATGGCAAGCGAATGGGTCATTTACTGTTGAGTAGTTAAACCATATCCTACATGGCAAGTGAATGGGTCATTTACTGTTGAGTAGTTAAACCATATCCTACATGGCAAGCGAATGGGTCATTTACTGTTGAGTAGTTAAACCATATCCTACATGGCAAGCGAATGGGTCATTTACTGTTGAGTAGTTAAACCATATCCTACATGGCAAGTGAATGAGTCATTTACTGTTGAGTAGTTAAACCATATCCTACATGGCAAGTGAATGGGTCATTTACTGTTGAGTAGTTAAACCATATCCTACATGGCGAGCGAATGGGTCATTTACTGTTGAGTAGTTAAACCATATCCTACATGGCAAGCGAATGGGTCATTTACTGTTGAGTTAAACCATATACATACTCTCCATGTGGGTACCAGGGCACTATTTGTGGCGTGTTTGGGGTGGGGGGGGGGGTGGGGGGAAGGGACCCACCGCCCTCCAACAGTAGATCATAGAAGTCAATTAATTAGGGGTGTTTGTTTCAATGTCACAATGTTTTTGCCTGAGAAGCAAGGAGCCAACAGTAGAAATCAGATCTGTAAAACAGATGCGCACGCAAAACTCAAATTCTGGAACAAGATCAAAGTTTAGAAATAGTCGAAGAAGCAAAACTTTCCACCAGAGTTAACAATCCGTGGACACTGAAAAGAAGGAGAAGTCACACATGACCAATCCCTTCGTATCTTTCGACCGTGACACCTGAATTAATCTGGTAAACAAGAAAAACTGTACTCTAACATACATGATATACATACAATCTATCACAGACAAGAACCAATAGTTTATCTTTATGATGGAGTGGTCGTTGTGTCTCTGAACCCACCACACACAGTTATGGTGTGATCTGCATGCCCTCGGCCACATTAATGTAACTGACCTGCAGTGGCTTGTGAGCGGAGAGCACCTTTTTAGCATCGTTCAGGGGAAACCACTGCCGTCGTCTGTCTGTGAATATGAAGTCAAATATGAATATCAGACCACCTTCTACAGCAGAAAAGTAAAAATAACATAGAAGTAGAAGATAAATAGCCTTCACTAGCAAAACAAAAGAACACAAACAAAGAACATCCTGTAACTACACAGGGACACCTGTCTTAAAGTAGAACATGATTTAATATCGGCATTATGACTAATATTTGTATGAGAATAAGATACTATATTTATTGTTGGTACTGCACCAAAGTCACCTGAGTACTAACTCTTTGGAGAAAATTGGGTTTGAACATTCAGATCGCTGAAAAATCACACTGTGGGAAAACCTTTTTCTTGTTCTTCGCATTCACCGGCTCAAAGTTCTGGTCACTCGTCCATCTCTGGCCATTAATCTTATTGCAGAACCTGAGTCTTGCGTGCGCATCCCTTTTACAGATCTGACTTATTTGTGTGAAGGCTGCTGATACGCTGGTTCCAAGCCTCTTTTTGAGGCGGGGGAGGGGGGCGGGTCTATTCTTGTTTGTTTTCTCCACAACAGGGTCCCGGAACACATATACAGAATTGTGGCAAAAGAAAACTGAAGTTTGGGGAAAATTAATACTTCATTTTGACCTATTTGGAGTAGGAATTCACAAATCTACGTTTGGCATACTGTAAAGTGACAAATAACCGCCCTACAGGCGGAAACTGCCGAATACTGCACTTAGGTGATGATATCATAATATATAAAATAAAAACAAAACATCTGTCACGTTTACAGTGTTTTCATTATGAGTCTTGCAGAATGTAAGAATCTTGCCCTGACAGGAAAAACCCACCACCCTACTACGGAGTTGAATCTGGGTCTCTCGAAAGAGAACGAAGCATTCTTAACCACTTGGCCAGTTTTTCATCTACATTTAAAAAAAAATAATGATTTAATGGAGGACTATTCTCTTAACAAAAAAAAAAAAACATTGCTGGTACCACCTACAGTCTTTTTATTACAGCAGCGCTAAAGAAAAACAAAAACGATGCCTTAAAAAAGGTGCCGGTACTGTGTCCCATTGCATAATGCTAGAAAGAAGCCCTGATTTAATGTAATGTCTGGGGTATTTTCCCCAGCATTTAAGGACAATCCCTCCACACATCCCCACATTCCAACCTGACAGCAAGTGATAATCCCCTGTTCTCCATTACGTGCCTTATAGGAATACAGGAGCCAGTGCTATTTCTACAGGCTTTACTCTGGCCATACAATACAGCACTGTCTTCTGCTTACCTTTATTTATTAAGCCAACAGATTATGGCTACCCTTCAGGGGGGGATGTAACTGAACTGTTAATATGATCAGGGTGATCCATTGACATGGTATCTTTAGATTTATCTCAAGTTTGGTTGTGATATACATTTTTTGGGGTTAAAAGTGTTCTTGTTAATAGAAATATTCCCCATGTAGGCTTTAGAGCAGGGGTTCTCAACCTGCCGGTCGCAACTCTTCAAATGAGGAAAGCATATAAATACTTGGATGCAAACTTCAACTACTCCAACATGCTGAGAGACGAAATACAATCTAGAAAACAATCTGGAAATAAAGTATACTATGCCTTTCAACATCTGATAAAGTCAAAGTCTCTATCTTGCAACACCAGGATTAAAATATATAAAAAAACGTTGGCATTGAAACTTGGAGCACAATAAAAGAGATAAAACCTTATTATATATTTTAAAAAAAAGTGACACATTTTTGGACCCATCAAAGATGCAAAAACTGGAGAATGGAGAGAGAGAAGCAACAACAAAATTCATAATTGGTTTAAATCACCATTGATCACTGGCATCATGAAAGCTAATAGACTAATTTGGCTGGGGCATTTTGAGAGAATGTCAGATGACAGAGAGGTAAAAACTGTATTTAACAAGAGCTGAATGGTCACAGATTATGAAGCAGACAAAGAAGATGATGGAGAGATAATGTCCAGACAGACCTGCAAACTCTTGGTGTCACCAACTGAAAGAGAAGGCCAACTAGAGAGAAGAATGGAGATGGGTGATATCTGCAGCAATGAACTCCAAGGGTTAGGAATACTGAAGAAGAAAGAGGAGAAGAATGTCAAATCAGTATGCAGCAGAAAAAAGAGAAAGACTAAAACAATGACTAATTATTGTGAGTGAAGTTGAACCGCACTACACAGACCCAATGAGTCACTATTCAAATGAGAATCGCCAAAGTATAAACTCCTTTCAACCCTGAGGTTATATTTGGGCCCCAGAGAATTGCAAAAGCAACCTCCAGACATGGTAGGGTGTTGAGTTATTGCCAACTGTTGTGCCTGTCAGCATTAGGATCAGAATGGCACTGGAATTATGTATGCAACATGTTATCATACCTAAATATGTTAAAAGCAATCAACAAAAATCAAACAAGGTATACCACAAGTTTCATACCCAGAAAGAAAGATAGACAGGTAGGTAGAGATTCAGAGAGAGAGAGAGAGAGAGAGAGAGAGAGAGAGAGAGAGAGAGAGAGAGAGAGAGAGAGAGAGAGAGAGAGAGAGAGAGAGAGAGAGAGAGAGAGAGAGAGAAGCAGCCAGACAGAGAAATTGACATGCAGACAGAAAAGAGTAAAGAACACACCCCCCCCCCCCCCATCAGGCGTATTGGGCATATAGGGCTAGAGCTATATTTTAAAAACCAATCGGCACTCTGTGGCCGCCTTCACTTCACGAACTTTATTTGGTACCCATTTAAGGCTGCGTCAACCTGAGAGAAAAAGTCATATCTTAAAAAAAAAAAAAGTCAGACTCCATCAGGACTTGAACCCACAACCCTTTGGATCTGCATATGAGCATCTAGCCACTACACCATGGTGGCTCCCAGAAAAAGATTAAGCAGGTCTACAACACTATCATCCTCACCTAAACTCTTGGATTCCGTCCAATGGTCTTCCAAATGTACAACATAGAATGCATACACCCATGTACGTGTGTTCTTCTCCTTGTTCTGTGAAGTACATGAAAAATTGCAGGGGTCTAAGTGGGCGAGTCAATATTTCCAATGTAAATTTGACAAATGGTGATACTTATATAATAAGCTAAACATGAGGATAAACAAAAATAGAAGAAGAGAAGGCGAGGGATATGATGAGGTAAAGGACAGGAAAATAAGTTTTTATATTATATCTAGTTTATATACAAAAAATTAACGTCCGGGTGAAAATAGGAGCTCATGCACGCGGCGCACACACACAGACAATCATGTTCCCAGGATAAGTAATTATCGACAAATTGTCGAAAATTCAACGGCATGAATTAGAAAATGGATTATAGTATATATGTAGACCAGCAGATAACAGAGAAGCAAGCAGACTGAAAGACGTGGAAACAGGCAGACTTTCGGAGACGGACAGGCAGGCAGACAAACAGCCAGCCAGCCAGACCAGGCGAAAGAATCGACACTGTGAGAAATCCATAACCAAAACTGTGACAACTGGCACGTGAAAAATATACACAATTTCGGAAGGAAATAAAACTACTTCTGAGGTCCGACGTGACTTCATCCGATAGGAGTTAGCAGCGGAAAGCTGAGATATTACAGGAGTGAAACGTCAGCACACGGCGTTCAAACGAACAAACCGCGTGGCTAGTTGAGGAGAACTTGCATACACACTGACAACCACTTTAATCCATGAGGGGATGGCTTTCTTTTCGTCAGATACTGTAATTCTGCTGAAGCAGACACCCATTGTATGTCGATAACAAACAAACATTGGGACAGACAGGTAGATAGTCAGACAGGTAGGTAGAAAGTTAGACAGATAGATGAACAGAGAGAGAGAGAGAGAGAGAGAGAGAGAGAGAGAGAGAGAGAGAAAGAGAGAGAGAGAGAGAGAGAGAGAGAGTGGGAGGGGGGATAAAGAAATTAAGAGATCGATTGTCCCCTCCCCGATACTACCTAAAAATTTACCGTACCATCCTGGGATTGAAAAAAAAAATCTCAATGCGGACGTCAGACCAACAAGCCAGATCTCAGATACCCTGTTAAACCTCCAAAGAAGTTATAATTAGGGCACCTGTACCGGCTGCACCAGCCAGGTGCCACCTGCGCTTCTATACGGGTAAGTACGATACACACACACACACACACATACACACAGAGAGAGAGAGAGAGAATGTGCAAGGTTAGTTGCGTATTCTTTGCAGGACGTTGCAGAACCAACAACAACAGCCCCTGGCTGTTGTGTGGTTTTTCTAGGCAAATTTACGTCCAGTAGTTTGCCAGTGCCTCTGCACGGTCGGCTTTTTTAATACCACTGTCGAAAACAAAGCAAGGTGCATGGCCCGCAGCTAGGATCGAAGCCGGCACCCTGGCATTACGAAGCGTTCGCATCGACTTAGCCACACTTTTGGGTAAGTTTCTAACTCCAAATTTTGCCCGGGCAGCGCTACTCTTTTTCATTTTCCAACTGCCAAGTTTTTTTTTTTTAACGTGCGCAACAATACACACGGGCGTCTGGTTTTACTACCCGAGACTAGGGGAAATTACTAGAAATGCTCGTTAAAAAAATCGCAGCCTTCACCGCGCACGGGACATAAGGTACTAGATCCCAATTTGGTTAGATCGGTCGGCACTCAATGAGTGATGCGATGAACATCACACCGGTTGTCTTTCCTTTTCAATTAACTTCCCATTAATCATTTCAGAAGCGTCGACCTGGGCGCCAAGCCATCTATTAAAACGAATTTAAAACGTTAAGGCGAGTCCTGTTATCTGCTATGGCGGGAGGGAAATGGAAACAATCAAATAACAGTAAAAAAGATGCTGCTACTTCGCACTGTAGCGTACTATACAAAACAAGCCGAGCAATCGCAATTTGGACCAGATTTTTGAACGGGCCAAGAGATCTACTGATGGATCAGAAGACGTTTAATGTATGCTGCCGTACTATTTTACATAAAGTTAGTGGCTTTGCTTTTTATGAAATCGTTGACAAACACAGATAGTAGACTCCATCAACAAGACAGAATCAATCTCAAGCGGAGAAGGAATCTAGAGAAAATTACCATAATGTTGAGACGGCGTCGGCGGCTTCGGAGGCTGCTGCTGCTACTACTACTACTACCACCTACTACTACCTACTACCACTACCTACTACCACTGCCTACTACCACTACCACCACCACTACTACTACTACTACGACTATTTCTTCTTCCTCCTCCTCTTTTTCTTCTTCGCCTTCACTGGTTGTAAACTCCGGCGGAAAATTATGGTTGTTCGTTCACTTCTGGATTTTGGTCTTGTTCCTGAACCTCAGTGTTTCATGCACATGTGTTTACAGATCTGGCTTATTAATATACAAACTGTTGGTTCCTTGTCTCTCAGGAAGGAAGTCCCCAATTAGTCGTCTCTTACGACATGCCTGTTGGGGAGGCAGTGGGTCTATTCTTGTTTCCCCCACAAAGGGGCCGTGGAACCCACACGAAGATGACTTGTTCAATAACTCGAGTTAGCAATGCAAGGCGTTCTCTCTTGTATCATCAGTCAAAACAAAAGCTAGAAATAGAGCGCCATTGTTTCTTATGGTAAACAAATTTGCGGGACATCAGGAGCCTCTCTTGGCAGTGGTGAAACGTCGCAAGCTAACTTGATTTGGGCACATGGTGGGACATGATTCGATAGCAAAAACTGTACTCCAAGGAATATGGGGGGGGGGGGGAGTAGTCGAAGAAGAGGAGGGCAAAGAAGATTTGGAATGACAAAACAAGAAATGGACAGGACTAAGTTATCATTCATTTATTCATCAAGCAGAAAACAGAGAAAGATGGCGGGTTCTATGTGCTAGTGCTTCCATCAATACACCTCCACGACCCTAATGGGTCAAAGGTTATGTTATGTTTTGTTATAAATATGGCAAGGACTTTACACCTTAACAAAGAGCAAAGAACCCGCTCCCCATGGTGGTGAGCTATGTTATGATACAGTAGAACTGGTGAAGGCTCCCTGTGATCAAGTGGACAGTGTAACAGAACAGACCAAGGATCCATACACCGACAGGCTTATTCAGCGAGGGTTGAGCAGAGGCGCTGGGAAATTTGACTACTACAGGGAAAACATAGGCGGACTTTAATCAGGTTGCAACAACTGGTACTATTAACGTATCAACTCTTGGTTGGCTACTGAAGAAGGAGATGAAGCATGTGTGGGAAAGTCCCTGAATGCAGGGATGTCATTCACTCATTCATGTGTTGAAGAACTCGTGTGCTGACAGAGTACATGGTGTTGGTTTCAGTCAAGACGATAGTCTTCCTCTTCTTCTTCGCGTTCACCAGCTGTAAACTCTAGCGGAAAGTTCTGGTTGTTCATCCACTTTTGGACTGCAGTCCTGTTCCAGAACCGGAGTGTAGCGTGTGCATCCGTTTTACAGATCTGACTCTTTTGAATCCAGACTGCTGGTTCCTTGCCTCTCAGACAGATGTACTCCAACTTTGAAGAAAGCTCCCAATTAGTCGACTTCTACGACATGTTTTTTGGTTGGCAGTGGGTCTATTCTTGTTTGCCCTATAACAGGGCCCCGGAACCCACACGGGGAGAGACGATAGTAACCACCATCATCTGGAGATTTCTTTGTAATGTGGGTATGAAATAGCAGTGTGTTTATTCCTTATCTGTTTGCTTGTTTTAGGTCGTTTCCAGCCAGTGTTTGGCAGATTTTCTCCTTTCTGAGCTGGCTACATACTACTAGTTTAAGCCGACAGATACATCAATTCCCGCCAGTGCCAAATGTGATTGCAAATTTCATCAACCAGAGTTATACCGAGCCATGTCACCACGACACAGACGTCTGCGTGTCAACTGTCTATAACAGCCGGAGGAAACCGAACTCACCAGTGGCGTTGATGACGTTTTGGGGCAGGCTGGGTTATAACGCAAGTTTCTTCAAAACTCATTCCACACTAAATCACACACGAAACAAACACACAAAAGCAGTTTGTCAGAAATTGTTCGTTGCCATTGTGAGTTATTGAATAAAATACGAAGTGTTAACTTTCTTTTGCAAGAGAGCATGCAGGCACGGGCGCATTCACACACATACAAACTGATACACGTAAAGAGAGGGGAAAAGGTGTGACAGAGGGGAGAGGGAGAGAGAGCAATTACGTAATTAACTCTAGTCTGAGGCCTGGACAGATCGGCTACCTGCCGCTTATTGGCTCGCCGGTAGACGACTTTGTCGCCGGTCAGGACAGTATTTTGGTCTATTCCCTTTGGTCGCATCAAACAATCATAGTCGTCACCATGTGGGACAACATTGTCCGTTATTTTGAAGCCCCACCCCGGCTTTTGCCCTAAATATAGCCTGACGGCTGAACGGAGCTTCAGGGACCTCTCCACGGGTGATCGTCATCCGCATGGTGACACTTTGTGTCAACGGGTGTTTGTCGCTTGCGTGCTGCTCTAGTGGGGTACAACTTGTTTCGCATCAACTGCAGGGGTCCTTTTCAAGGCGTGTAATTCTAAGTTATTTTATATGGCCCACATAAATCAAGTCACAATTATAACCTAAAGCTCCCCCCCCCTTCCGAGGATGCTGGTTAAACGTGAAGGTAAACAATCTTTTTTCACAGCAACGCAACGGAACAAAGAAGGAAAAAAAAAGCGCCTGGAGAAGTGCAGGCGGAGACAGCATACCTATCACATTAACTTCACCCTGTGCTTCGGTCCTGACAACACGGTTAGGTTTACTTTAATCTCCCCAAATAGAGTAGGTCACTTTTCATTCACAAGTTTGTTGGGCTGGTCGACTTTTCTGAAGGTTACGGATGTGTCCTGCTGTGTTGTTGGCTTTCTGCGTTGTCTTGCATTTACGTTTTTATTCCGAGAAAACGAAATTAAGTACAGACTGCTACATAACTTTTAGTGAGCAAGCACCTAGGCGTCTAAGATGTGAAAAAGAGACTATACTTTTGTCCTGGTTCAAACATGCATTAAAGAGCTCTTTATT